AAAAAAAAAAAAAAAAATAATTCGAATTAACTCAAAACTACTGCTATTTGTAATTATATTAGAAACTGTCTGTTGCCCGCGACTTCGTCCCCGCAATATTAAGATAAAACAGTAGTCTATAATATGCCCGTCTAGATCAGCTACCTTTAAGTGAAAGTCCCGTAGATGTCGATCCAGCGTTTCGTAAACTACCTGGAACCAAGGCGGCTTGCGGACAGAGAGACAAAAAAAACGACTTTCGTTATTAGCAACGCAAAAAAATCATCTTCTCGTAATCAGAATTTTTTCTTTTAATGTTAAAAACAGACACTCCCATTTTAATATTACATATAGCCGATTAGATTTAATACCGATGTAATATAAATGAAAGATTTAAATTGTCTGCTCCAGTTACTGGCATCTATTATGAGGCAAACAATGCAAATTTAAAGATCATTTATTATCCGGCTGTACATTCCACCGCTGAAGTGAGCCGGGCGTTGATTAAGTATTTCCCATCAATAAGGACCTTCTCTATCGTGACTTGTATCGATCGGGACCTTAATTACCGGAATGCCGGACAAAACGTCGGCGTCTTTGAACCGTTCGGCGACGGGGCGACGACGGGGCGACGATACCAATTCGATGAGTTTTCGGTTTGTTTTTAGATCTCGTTAGCGGTCTCGAGAATTCGAACATTCATCAGTCCAAACATATTTCACTTCGTGCCGCGGTGATATGGCATTTATCCATTTGCATTCTCAGATTTCCTCAGCCGGTCGGATTTGAAATGGTATTTTAAAAGTAAGAAAACAATCTATTAAACCAGCTTTCGATTGTTGGAATTCTGTTGGTGATTTGATAGAATTTCTTTTCAGATGTTAAATAAGGAAGGGTCCTTAAGATTTAGTATTAGATATTAATAATTCAAAACATTGAACATGTTTGATTCAGAGAAATCCGCAGACTGTGTAGAAGCAGGAGCCGACAGTCGGGACAGTCGGGACAGTCGGGGCACTGACATTTATTTACATTTTACAATCGCATCGTGACGTCCGTCCGCTTTCGTTGCGCTTCTTGTAATAGCGCATAATGTATTCTCATAACTTCAATTTATGCATGCGACTTTAGATCTTAGATAAGCTAGAGACGAGACATAATAGGGTGCACGTAGCCGACTTTCGAGTTAACAAGCCGTTTTGAGAGTACACGGGATTTCGTCACTTACCAAGATAACACTCGTAACAGTTGAAAAGAAACGTGAGTACTTCAATCACTTAAAATCGTAAATGGCCGCTGATTAAAACTAAATAGATATCTGAGTGAATGTAGATATTAGATTTATATATTTAAATGAAGTTTGCGTCGATGAAGAAATCAAAACGAATGACTTACTGAACTTAGACGGACCAGATTACGATGGATATTGAAATACCGGTTATAAATCTAATCGAAGTGCTAAAAACCAATTAAAACTGACGCCACTCGATACGATAAAGTGATTACACAATTCAAACGGTAATACGTATTCGACACGGGATAAACATGACTTTATCAAACGTCTGCTCGGAGCGCCAGTGACTCAGGTATTCATTTATAATTGATTTTACCTGCGTCAGTATAACAAGTGACACGGCCCTTGTTCCTACGTTATTGATTGAAGTCATAATAGAATAAATCTCTTCACTTGGTGCTTGTTTGTTTTCAAAATATCAAAATGGAACTCGCATAAGTCTTGGCAGCTAAGCTTGTAGACGTTTTATCAGCGATATCCGGTCGTAATGTATGAGCGTTTGTGGCAAACTTCGTGAACTTACAACCGTGTGATGAATTTAGGTACATTAATCGAATATGATTCACTATTTACATTATATTTTGCAATTACTGTTTATAAAATATACATTGTTTTAATACCTTTACATATTATAGCGAGTAAAATTTATTACAGTAACAATAACAAACGGCATCTGAGTTTAAAGCGTTCTCTCCACTCGTCATCGATTTCTCCAAAAGTCCGCACCTGGTTTGACGCCTCACTCGCGCCTATTTACACGCAAAACATAGATATTTGGATATCGTATACCCTACTTTAACAACTCGTCTTTCTGCTATGGAAAATTGGACCAAAATGTTTTGGTGGTAAGATAAAATTTTCATTGGGGTTTAAATTTAAAGCACCCTCTGCGGAATTTCGCTCAGGAATTGTTATCAGAACATCAGTGTATGTTACTTTTCCAGCGGTGTTGACAGTAATACCTCTAGGATTGTATTATTATTCGTAGCGAGGAATAGCACTAAAATAAGCCGCGACTCGCACAGAGCGAGGATAACTTAATTAGTTTCACTTCCGTTCTATGTGTTTCTATTTCCGTTTCGTAGGGACCGAGAGCTATTTCCTTCAGGAATCTATTTTTCCTTAATAAGATTTGTTTTCGAGAGCCGTTTTTCCCATCCCGTGGTTACAGATGGTGCGTAGACAATTTTAAATTCCTTACATTCTTTCTGCCATGTGCGATATATTTATTGTTACTGTTAATTAACCTTATACTGCCCTTTCGTTGAATTTAATTAAAAAACAATAAAACGTAGTAACACGGCCGTAGTAACACGGCCATAAATTAGTTTCGTTCGAATAGTAATTCAAATGTTTTAAAGTATAACTCTATATACTTTGTAATTTTATGATATAAAATTCAATGTTGATTCTTCATATTAATCTATTTTTTTTTGTTACAGAGACGTCGAGTTCAACGGAGGCGGATCACATCACAGCCGCTCCCACTCCACCGATACCACTGCGACCTGAGTACGCTCACCCTGCGGGAGCCGAGGCATTAGATCCTTACAACTCTGAGAACAATCACCCAGCACCTAACCATGAAGGTTATTTAGAAGAGGATTACGATCATGAATCTCACAAGGACGACGACCACGACAGTCGAGACGACGCAGACGAGCTACCATCGCTCTCCGGAGATCATTTGTTACAAAGTTCAACAGATGATCTACCAATATTTCTATTAGAACCTCAGCACGCGTTCGTAGTAAGAAACAAACCAGCAATGTTAAGATGTCGCGCAGCCAATGCTTTGCAAGTATACTTCAAGTGTAACGACGTGCGATCTGTCGCCAGCACTCAGTTCGAATTCGTGGATCCTCAAAGTGGTGTCAGGATTGTCGAAGCGGAGTGCAATGTGACCAGAGACCAGGTCGAGGAGTACTTCAGTGAGGAGTTCTCATGCACTTGCTTCGCTTGGAGTAGCAGAGGAGACATTCGCAGTCAACCGGCAATTGTTAAACTTGCATGTGAGTATTGAACTAGATTAAATATTTGTTTAAAACGTTCAAACTTTTATCGTATCGATAAATGAAACTTGTCGACTTCTTCGTTTAGAAATGTATGTTTTTATTTTATGTTACCTTTTCGGTTTGATACAAATATACACCAACATCCGAGTAATAAAAAGGTCGATCAACTGTCATTATGTAACGAAACTGTTTTAAAACTCCCTATATCCGCTTCGAATTGGGCGCCGAGCAACATTTCATCAAAAGTCATAATTTGAGTGAGCTTCCGTTGATAATTATAGACTAACCCAGTTCGACGGCCGTTTCTATCCATTCCAATTCGTAGACAAATATTTCTTTAAAATTCTCTACCTAAAAGAAACTCAAATGACAAATGAAAACTTCACACACATTGTTTATACTAAACAATGTTAAGATATTAACGTAACTAAAAAAAATTAAGATCCAAAACATGACCTTTTAATCATAATAAAAACAGTTTTCGCAAAACCCGACCGAGACTCATAATTTTACATGTTAAAACTCTTCATGAATAAATTAAACGATCTATAATTACTGACCAAAAATTATTATTACAATCGTTACAAGGCAATCCTATTAACTTCGAGTCAATTATCGATCATTCAAATATGGCAATATTTGATTTATTTTCTTACAAGCCGTCAATCATTGTATGTAAATTCGAAGGTGTAACAACAAAAGATGAATTGCTTCAATACTCCACAAAATCGATTACTGAGACTCGATTAAATTCAATGTTCCCGGGAGGTAAATCTTCTGTGCATATTAAATAAATGTCGGAGAGACCGTTTGTCAGATTTATGTCGGACGTTTCTTAATATACGGCGGCGATTAGCAGCTACGTTCAGTGGAGCAACTCGTGCTGTATTGAAATCTATGCGATATACAACAATATGGAGTGTTGTTGTTTTATTATTTACAACGATTGCTCTATCGATTAGATTTTAGAGATAGTGAGACCAGTTACTTCTGGAATTAGAAAGGTGAACTTGAAGATGTTTATTTCTCTAACATCAGATGGCCTTGTGGATTTTTACTTGATAGAAATCCATTTTAGAGTATACATTATAATCTTTTTGTCTAATAACGAGTAACCAAGAAATGCAATATAAATAGACTTTTAGATTGCCAGATTTATCTAAATAAGCTCCTTGATATGTGCTTGCTGATTTTTTTTATAATATGAAGTGGCACACGAGCAAGCGGCAACCTGAATCCACCGAAATGGAAAGTGAACGCTGCCCAAAAACATCCGCAATTGAAGATGCGTTGCCTACCCTTAACTGACGAAGGAGGAGACGCATATAAAGAGAATGTTTCCCCTTCCTATGCGTCTCCTTCACCGTCAAATCCATTTTTCCCATCCTTTCCTCTTAAGAAAAGGATGGAAAGGGAAAGGGACTAGGCCTCATTACTTCTGTATAGTATGCGAATTTTATCATATTCTAGTTAGAATTGTACGTAGGTACATAATTGTTTATCCTCAATGATATATTTATAGAAATACTAAAGTATTAGTAAAAATAAATACGCATCCTTTGGAGCATTCAAAGGCGGCTTTGTACAAAGACAATAAAATCCCTCGCAAGAAGTAAATTGAACGAGAATCAGAATAAACACGCGGAGTTGAAACTCATAAATGTCTAAATATACTCGAAACAGAACAGAGAAGCGCGAAGCAAGTGAGACGTTCCCACTTCGTCCTAATTGCGCGAAGCAGCCGTGTGTAACACAAACGGTTTAAATTCTCCTTCTGACAGTTTTAATTGTTCCCTGAGAGCTTTAAATACACTCACAAGTGGCATCTATGCCGCTATTAATGTATGTACGCGCGGTATCGCAGTGTGCGTAAAAGTGTCACTTCTAAGTCTCCTAGTCGAAGATTTAGAGCTACCCACTGCGTTTAAATTGTCCCTTAAGTTATTATCCGGGTACTTTTTAATGGATCGATGAGCACGTGTTATATTAAGTATACGTGTAAGCCGTGGGGCGATGGTAGGGAAGAAGTAATGTTTCTTTTATGAGATACTACCTTTCGCCCGCGACTCTGTTCGCTTGGAATTAAATGAAAAAGTGCGTAGCTTATGTGTTCTGCCAGACTATCCTCTATTTCTATGTCAAATTACATCAAGATCCGTTCAGCAGTTTAGGCTACAAAGTCTAATAAACATCCATCTAAACTTTCACATTTATAATGTTAAATAAGATTACGTAAGTATTTTTAATTTAAGAAAGATGTTGACGTGAAAAATTTTCTTCCAAGAAATCTAAGATAATATTAAATACCTCCTGCTCCTACTGTTCATTATCCTCGAGTATTTTTAAAAGGTTATCCTTTAAAGTTACTAGTAAGAAGCCATGTCTAAGCATTTCGCATGTTCCCAAGTTGCAAGGTTCAAGCAATTCCTGCTCGCTTCAGTTCCGTAGATACGAATGTACAGGAAATGAAACGTAGTCTGGTTAATTTATTGCTCTATGAAAACTCCCCTTTATCATTCATGCTCACTAACATAGTAGAAACCATGATTTCTACGATTCTTAGTTGAACACTTTTAACTGCAGTATATCACTGCGCTCGCGACATGTGACTTAAGAATCTAAAGGTCTTTTACCGTCCATTTGACTGGAAAACTGAAAACTATTTAGCTTTGTGAATTTACTATAGCTTCTCTTGTAAATCGTACAAAGAGGTTATCACTAACATTAATGAGAACGTTCTCTTAAGATCAAATCATCGCATCACTAACAAACCTCAAACAAATGACATCTATTACGTTACGAATACAATCTCGGAACTGTCAGGCAAATATTCATAATAGCCGCTGATATTTTGCTCTGTCGGTGACCTTTAGCGATGAATTTTTGAAACTACATGTTTACTTACAGCCGTAATAATTGAAATAGAAAAGACTCTAAGTTCCTTGTAAAAATGCGTTATTTCTTACTGCAACGTTATGTAATGTGTATTGAAAAAATTTATCTCACGGGCGGCACTTTTGTAAAAATACGCAGCTGCTGTAATTCTAATTTATAAGTTAGAATAGTGTTGTGACTTGAGACTAATCCTTTAATGTCGGCGGCATTACGCGCCATCTGTCCAGCATTTGCTGTCCTTTACAACGACAGCGCTGGAATGTAATCACTTATTATAAATTAACATAAGAATTTTAAACAGCACTTAGTACAAGATGTTTGTTATTTACATGACCAATATGTCTTACTTGTTCCTGGCACGAAAAAACTAAAGCTCTTTTCATTTCTTTGTTAGAAATAAAAAAGTATTGTTACTGAAACTATAACATTGTGTAATTTATAGTAAGAAGTTTTAGAGAAAAATAGTCAATCGTTGGCTGCGACATGCTTCTGTTATTAATCACAAGCTGTTGCTTATGACTTCGCCCGTGTTAATTTTAAAAAATAGCCTAGGTTACTGATTGATAACGTAGCTTTTAATGGTAAAAGAGTTTTTGAAAATGGCCCAGTAGTTTTTGAGTTATATCAATACATACAAAAATACAAATTTTTCCTCTTTATAATATCAGTATACTCGTAGTTATAGATGACAACAAGAAGTTTCGTCTAAACATATGGTATCGTGACATTAGGTCGCCTTGCAACCTTTTACTCTCCATCCTCCCATATATCAGTTGGAGCACGTTTAGAGTAACTAATGCACCGGTTCGCGCACTGCAAAATGAACGTTTCAACTGTGAAGTGGTCTGAGCGAACGCAGCCATAAATCTGGTGAATGCTCGCTCCATTACCCGCCCGTGCCTTGCCCGCGTTTCACTCGCGCCTTACCCGCGATGCGCTAAGACGTGTTGGTTTTATTGTTCACCACTGCGGTAGTCGAGTGAATTTCGAAACATGAGGTTAGCGCTCTTATAAAACATATGGCTTTATAGGTTCAAATGGTATGCTTTTAGCTTACAAAATTAAGTTGGTTATATTGATTTAGTATCTGTATTTTATCAGTAGTTTAATCACCATTGATGCTGGGTTGCTGCAGTTTCAATTTATTTTATCACTAGCTCTCGCCCTCGACTCCGTTCGCGTGGAATTAAAAAAAAAACAGAAGTGAGTAGCCTATGTGTTCTTCCAGACTATCCTCTACATCTATACCAAATTTCATCGAGATTCGTTCACTCGTTTAGGCTACAAACTCTAACAAACAACCATCCATCCATCTAAATTTTCGCATTTATAATATTAAGAAAGATTGCCTAATGATTCATTAGTGGTCCGTTAAATTATAATTAAAAGGAGTATAACTCAAGTTACGTAGTTCGGAAACGAATTTCAAAAAGTTATCGAACCAAAAACACTAACGAATGGTTAAATATAGCTGGGAAACTGGCCATAAATGATGTGCAAGGACACTCACTGACGTTAATTAGCGGCTGATAGTCCCTTAGTGAAGATTACATTTGTCTATTGTGACTAAGTAACTATTAAATGACTGTGATAGTGGTTTTTAATATTGGTTGAATTTTATTTATGACCGGATGTAGTTACCGTTTGATTTATTTAAAAGTTTCGCTTTCTCTATGGCCAAGAATAGCAAAAAAGTTTTTCCTTTCATGTAAAATCTTTCTTTGTTTTAATAATTAATTGCAGTAACAAAGTTGTGATTTATTCGAACACCGAGTGTTGAGATATCTTTTTTCGTGTATTACCGTAAATCATAAGACGCAGCTGCTTTGGAACCATTTTTCTTACCTACATTATTCAGTTAAATTATGAATTCATTTCAGTTTTTTCTGAACATTAAGGTAATTTTATGATACATTTATGAATGCCAGTAAAGAAATATTGTTATTGCTGAATTTCTTTAGTGTGTTTACTTGGTTAGTCTGTAATTGCGCTAATTAAGTTTCAAGTTTAGAATATCATGACTTTTTTATGCTCTTTTAGCGATTACCTAATAAATTTAAAAACTTTAATGCAAGTGATTTTAATATGTCATTTAACAACTAAAGAGAAATAAACAATTAGAAATATGTTAATAGCATATAATAGGCTTTTAAAGCCTCATTCGTACGGTACTTTGACTAAAACATGAGGCCTAAAGTTACGTAGTATTTTACTATAATAGTTCAATTATTCCATCGCATATGCGATTAGTCGATAAACGGCTAAATAGCGTTAAATTGTTTAATGAAAGGCAATTATAGGTACCTAGTGGGCCGAGTGCTCGTTGTACAACGACATTGTGGTTACGATTTTTTATTAGGATTGACATGGGAAGACAGGAGGCAACATCTGGTCCAATTTATAAGTGATCGCGGGAATGTTTTGCAATCAAGTGAAGAACTATATAATATGGGATGTGTGCGCAAACGAATTTTTAACGAAACGAAAGATTGCAATTTACACTTAACTATATAACTAATATTAAAAATGCGCAAGTTTAGATGGATGGATATTAGAGTTTGCCAATTAAACGGCTAAACAGATTTCGATTATATTTTGCAAAAATGTAGACAGTATGGGAGAATACATAGGCTACTCACTTTTTTGTTTAAATTCGACGCTGTCGGAATCGCGGGTGATTGCTAGTGTTCTATAAAAAATAAACGCGAAATAAAAAATCTTTCTACCTACCTCTATGCAATTATACCGAATACTATATTCACAAAATAATTAAAACGCTGCCTCTTATTACTTAAACTTTTAGCGAACCGAGTAACGAATTATTAAATTGCTCCAATAGCAGCTATTATTGAATTCATTCGCAAAGTTTGGCTTTTGAGAATGTCTCGATTATTATTGACGACTGTCACACGAGATCCGAGCACGCTTTTTATTCCTTAATTAAATTCGATATGCGGGCCATCGGCTGCTGTTATATTAACAGTGACGTCTCAATTATATTCCACGTACGAAGATATTAATTACTTTTTCCACCCACACAAATATGTCAGGTTGTTGGCATGAACAGGAAGATGGTAGCTCAATGTTTTTTTTTTCGTCTTCAATTTGCAGTAATGAGGTTAATAACACATTCAAAGACAATAACAAACTACACTAAACGTAATTTAACTGTTTTTTTTTTATAATACGTTTATGTCCGGGTACCATAAACACTAACCAATGGTTAAATGAAGTTGGGACTTCATTTAACCATTGGTTAGTGTTTATGGTTCGATAACTTCATGAAATGCGTTTCCGAAACACCTAACTGGTGTTTTACTCTGGTGACACTTAGGTCAAACTAATACTAATCTATAGTAATATTGAAGAGAAATGATTTGTAATTTGTATTTCTGTATTTATTGGAATAACTTAAAAACTACTGAGCCAATTTTGAAAATTCTGTCACCGTTAGAAAGGTAATTTATGACTTACGTAGGCTGTATTTTTTTTCACGCGGACGGAGTCGCGGGTAAAAGCTAGTCATAAAATAAAGAAACTTCAGCAACAAAACAATTATCTTACGATGTGTGGATTTGCTAAAAAGTAAAACTTCGTAATATATTTACTTTAATATGGCATATCTTTTACAGATATAAGGAAGCAGTTTTCAATGTCACCATCGCCAACATCAGTGGAAGCGGGGCTTACAGCATCGTTGCGTTGTTCACCGCCAGAAGCAGTACCGCCACCTCGCGTCGCTTGGCTGAAACATGGCACACCACTGCAACAAGACCACAACGTGGTTATATCGGCTGAAGGCAACCTCGTCATATCTAGAGCTACGTTACAGGTGTGTTTATGCATTTTACTTATGTACAATCGCGGAAATCCGCGGTGTTTACATTTAGAAAAAAATGCCTTGTTCATTGGCATCACAAACTCCGCCTCTTTACAAATAGCTAATTAGATAGCAGTGAATGGGATGAAGTGTAAATAAAATGTAATAAACTATCCGACTTTTTGTACAGATGCGTTTATAAGCTATGTTGTATTGTTTTTTGTTCCGCGACTCGTCTCAAAATGTTCGAAAGTTGTATCTTTAAGAGGAACATCGCCAGTTTTCCTGACTGTACATACATGTTAAATTGCACTGGACTCTTTTTTAATATTTAGAAGTTGAGACTATTCACAATTACTGTAATTAAGGTCTTCTTTTTTAGTTCTTGTTGGTTGCCTACTAAATAATTTCTCAAGGGAACCTTTGCCGTGTTAGGATTTGCTAGTATCAAAATTGATCCTTATTAAAAAACCACATTGATAACATCTCGAGAAAAAGTTATTATTCGATTAAATGGAGATTGAATTACATTGCGATAAAAGTCACAGTATGAAAGGGAGGCAATAATTACTAAAAAGATATACCTTTTGTATCGTATAATTATAATTGACACATGACATTTAGTTTCGATACCACCCTATGTTATACGCCCTTCGCCCTCACTCTATGCATTTTACAGACAGCTGGTATTATGATTGATTTGTTATTTCATAAAAAAACTTACATAATGTACTTGTATTGAAATTTTTTAAATCCTTAAAAGAATGATATGGAAGTTGAAATCGGGCGCAATTTAAGACAATATCTCAACCACGTGTCGGACACATTTAAAAGTATGCATTAAATCTTTCCCGTCTTTGTTCATAAAATTAATGGGAATATAAATCATTATAACAGTCAGATTATCATTAACGAAACCACAAGAACAAACAAGTGATAACGCACACGTGTAAGAATTGGGTCTTGTCCTAAGCTAAGCAAAGAGTTTCAATTTAAAAGCATGTTCAAGCAAAACGTGTCATTAATTCTTAAGACAAAAGGACGTTAATCCCATGCCCGGCGAATTTATTAGTCATTTGCGTGAGTCACATCCTTTAAGAAACGTGTTTCATTTGGCGACATATCAGAGTTTAAGTAAGGGTTTGTTTTGCAAATGATGTAATACATGTAATACTTACACTTCCTGGCGCCTGATTAATTAATAACTGCTTTCTTATTATTTAACACTAAATTAAAATTATGAGCCGCAGTTTATCGCAAAACATTCATTGTTAAATGTTCATTATCGTAAACTGCTATAAAATGGCGCTTTATTTTGACTAAAAATGTAAATTTTACAAATTATCCAATGATTACTAACACGCACCAGTTAGGTTAATGTAATCCTTTTTTCCTGAGCTACGTGCCCAGTAATTTTAATTAGATTTAGACGCACGGACGCTTTTATAACGCGCGTTAAAAAACCGTCGAAATGAACATACAAGAAGATACATTTGCTCAAACTTCTACGCTTTTAAAGCACTACCTTTTAACGTGTAGTGTTGCAATTTCAGTTTTAGGTGAACATAACAAGAGCGATTTTAAAACGTCCATCGCCCCGCGAATCGACGCGTCAAAAAAGCGCTCGTACAAATGAGCGTTAAGAGACGTCAATCCTCGGCTCGTTACGCACAGAAGCGTAGCCATCAGCGGCCGCGATCGCGACATCTTGTCGGCTTGTCGCGAATTGTTTGTTTTATCTGGAAGCGACTGCGACTAATTAGTCGGGTTGGACTGACGTTTATTAATTGCGACACAAGTCACCGCGTTGTCCTTTTGCGTCCATCGGCGTACTCTTTCAAAGCTTCGCCCCGTCGTTGATAAAAGCACAAGCTTGTGTCCGGGATTAAATTAATTCGGTACATATGTCTTGTTGACAACAACTCTTACTTTGTTTTTATATTTTTGTTATCAGTTGCACAATAATCTTGATTACAAGTAACTCTTTAATATTTGGTTTCTGAAGTTAATATTTATTTTGTTATTACCTATCGATTTATTAATGTTAAGTCATTGAAAGAAACACTCACGAAAGGTAGCTGGGAATCCGGCCATAAATAGGCTTATTTAGTAATCTATCTAATACCTTAAGAATTTAACATTACGAAATATTAAGGTTTATATTTCCTTTATATAATGTTAGTATTAATCCTAAGAACAAGAGCGCAGTGTTTGCATTGCGTCTACCACAGCCATGATATCCATAACCGCAGTATCGCGGCTTCTCACTCCATCTCCGGTTTCCGCTGCACGGCGTTTACTAATTAGCCACTAAAGCCAGACATGGATTAATCGCAGACACTGTCAGTCGCGTCTCCCTCATTGTAGCCTGGAACATTATCTCTGAGTACAAAGGTGTTGGAGAGCGTTCTTAATTAAATGTAATGTTTATAATCATGAGTCGTGCGTCGTTTGTATTAATGAACACATCCTTTGTGATTTAAAGTAGCAAATTTAACTCGCGTTTTAAAGACCACCTACTTGTTGATTATAGGGAAGGAAACGCTTTGTTAAAAAGCTTACTGTAGATGTTCGTATTGTTTTGTAAAATTATTTGCAATGTCATCGTTCATTGTTCTGGTATTCACAACTTTAAGGATATATCTAGTTTATTATGTATTCTGCTGCTCATTTGCACCTTCTGTAATAGAAATAAATTAAATACATTTTTCTCATCGATCTCAAAAACCCAATTAATAAATTTAATAAAACATTCTTGTAGAGGTCTTAAGGAAACAATTATACATATATTTTCATCAGAAATTAGTTATTATTAGTTGATAGCTCGTTACATTTTAAAATGTATATCATTAGCTAACTATGGCCAGATCAGGCGTAGGCATGCAACAGGATACATTGACAACTGCTATTGATTCAAGTCTAAAGTGTACTGAAGACCGAAAGTTTGCGAAAGATATGAAAAAAAAAACTTATGAACCATTTTTAGATAAATTAACTTAAAATTAATCAATCTTACAGTCAAACTATAGGCATTGTTTTAACCATTTTTCCCCTAACTGTAACAAGGAAATAAAAACTAAAAGGAGTTTTTCAGATGTGGAAATAGATCAAGTTTGTTACGCAAAAGTTATATAAAATGTTACATTACATTAAAACAATTTATAAAAAACTAGCTGTTGCTCACGACATCGGCGACTACGTCCCTGTCAAATTAAAAAACAATAAACGCCATAGCCCAAGTTATTCACAGATAAATTACCTTTCTAATGTTGAAAGAATTTTTGAATTCTGTCCAGTAGTTTTTGAGTTATTACAATACATACAAAAATACAAATCTTTCCTCTTTATAATATTAGTATAGATTGCTTCTTTGTTTCGTTGCATAAATTTTGTTATTAATATGGTAATCTAACGGCGTTTTTTATTATTAACAATCAATTAACAAATTCTTTACCTTTTCATTTCATCAATTAACAAAATTGAACTTTTTGTTTAATTTCCATAAAACATGATAATAAAATTGCGTCACACGCCAACTTTTGTATTAACCTCATTCCGTCTACCGTTAACGTTAAGGAATTTCAAATATGAGATCGTGGTTTTGTTTATTACAAACAAACAAATATCGTGATAATTGTATATTACACGCAGACTTTTGTTCCCAGGACATGGCTAACTACAGTTGCGTGGCTGAAAATATCGCGGGCAAGAGAGTCTCGGAGCCCGCGCTTTTGACGGTTTATGGTGAGTTTAAAATAATTACTTTATAAAGGTTTGTAAATATCACTTTGCATGACAATTGTACAAAGGTGAAATTTTGTTAGTTTTTCTTTTGTTTTGCGACACGATGTTTTTCATTGATTACGATAAGGTTAGGAACATGTCGATTTTTAAAACACTATAAAAAAGTTCACCTAAGTATGTTTATTTTGAAATGCATTTTTGTTGCTGTACTTATTTTTATATATAGTTGAAATTTCTCTTACATAATGAGTTTTCCTGGATAACCTTTGCCCGTTTTGATTGCATTTACATTACTGTAATAACTCGTAATAATACAACAATAAATCGAATGATACCGCAGGAAGGCTTAGACAGTTTAATGCTGCGTGCGCTAACGAGCCTTAGACATGGGTTTCATTTAATTTGCGATTTATTGGACGGCGTCGGGTCTAGTGCTATTTAATGCTTATTTCACCCTCACTTGTGCATAATAACTATCTTTACTTCAAAAGATCAAAGGGCACGAGCCGATGCCTTGCAATTATAGCAGTGCGCCGGCGCATGGGAGAATCATTAGGGCGCTGCGATCGCCCACGCCATCTTGGAAATATGGCGCCTCGCTAACTGATTACAATCACCACCTCCAACTTGGCATGGCGGACTAAACCGTTTGTTTCTTATTAATAGTCGCGAATCTATACTATTATAATAAAGCGTAAACACACACTTCTTTGTTGCCTAAGATGTCAGCAATTACAGCATATTTTTGAATAATTCTTTCTTTAATGAAAAGCCTACACTTACGTCACGCTTTAGGCTATATATTTTCACGCCATTCAACTTAGTGAGTAAATATTTTGGATGAAAACCTTAATGAGGGAAAGAGACCATAAGTTGCTGCCAACATCAAGGAAGCAAGATTGTCAAGGTTTGCAATGTCATGTAATTTGACATTTGCTATTGATAATTTAACAAATGTAAACAATGAAATAGAATTTTCAAAATTCCTTTAACATGCATAAAGTATGAGATTAGATAATAAATATGCACACCTAAAAATAAACTATCGCACAACTGTGTAGTCACGCTTTGATTCTTACGAGCTTATAAGGTACATTACTCGATATTTAGTTGTCCAACTTAACAGTTGAATGGGCTGCGAAACAAATGCCAATCGCGCAACAGTTTGGTTGACAAACTATTTTATAATCTCTAATAGTACCGAATGTAATTGTTTGCTTTATATCCGTAAGTAGAAAGTTGTATATCGTAAAAGATTTAACAAATAAAACTATTTTTAACGGAGATATGTGTATTGATAAACTATGTACAGAAAGAGAGAAAAAAATGATGACATCGACAATGTGTTCTAATTTTAAATAATTCAAATTCTTCTTCTTTTCTAATGGCTTGAAACCTAAAAACGTAAAAACTCCTTGAACATGTAAATAGGTAAGGAAATAAAATGATTAGTGAGGCAGTGCAGCGAACACTCCACTGACGTGATAACGAGGATATATTGTCCAATTCGCATGTAAGCGCTACAACTGCCATAGAACAAACACAAAGGGCTCGAAGCCCTCTAATAAACGTAATTGGTCTCAGCTTGTACCCGCACTAACTGTTCCAATTAGAACCTTCGTTTCTAGCCGGAATTGACAGAGTACACAGTTTCCCGTACCTCATTTACTCCCAGTTATAAATAAAATGAAATGTATTAATATTTCAAAATGCCCATTACATTGTATCAGTACAATCAATAACAACTATAAACTGTTTTTTTTACTAAATACTAGCTTTCGCCAGCGATTCTGTCCACGTGAAATTAAAAAAAAAAACAAAAGGAAGTAGCCTACGTATCCTTTCAGACTATGTTCTACACCTATGCCAAATTTCATCCAGATGTGTTAAGCCGTTTGGGCTATAAACTCAAACCAACAAACATCTATCCATCTATCTAAACTTTCACATTTTTAATATTAGTATGAAGTATGGCGAAGTAAATAATAAACTGAAAATTACTAAGCTGATTACAAAAAAAAATCACTATTTGAAATCAAATTTTTTTTATTTCAATTTCGTGCGGTCGAAGTCTCAAGCAAAAGTTAGTATTTTAGCAACACAAACAACTTGCGATTATCGGCAAAATGTCAGCTTTCAATAAAATTCGTCTAGTTTCGATTTGACATCGCTATCCCTGTTCTTTTACAGGTGAATAAAAGAGACAGCATTAATACTGTCCAGGTGTTTTAGACATATGTTTAAAATTGTTTTCTTACATTGACTCCATTAGTGTTATTTAGAGAGCTTCACCTAATTCCCCATCATCTTGTTTTCCCATTTGGCCATACGAATTCCGAGTTTTATAGATTTCCCTCTGTTAGGAACATCTTTGTTTATATTAACAGTGCTTTAATGGGTTAATAACAAAACCCTAACGCTAATGGAGCTATTAATTTTTATAGTCGAGAAAATGCTTAAATTTGGACCGCGGGTGGTCGTTCTGATCGTAATTCTGAGTTCTTGTAATCAAGAACAGCAAGTTGCAGTATCCGTTATGTTCTAGAAAAAGACGTAATATCTAGCAAATGACAATAGTATCAATAATTTCGATTAATTAATCTTTGTTTTGTAGTTAAAATTTTGACAATGTTAGGTGAAAGAGATTGATAATGAGATTTTGTTTTCTAGAAATAGCTTTGTTAAAATCAAACTACTAAATAACCTAAATAATTACGTTTATAACTAAAGAGTTGCAATGTTCATAGTGAACTGTCACTTAAGAGTCTTAAAACTGGTTTTAAAAATACTTACAGTAAAATAAACGCATTTTCAATTTCCAAAGCATCATGTGTTTTAACATAAAATTTACGTGTTCTTTTAGCGTCCCATATGTTCCAACAAAAAACATCTACATTTATACCAATTTGCCCCTTATAGGCATGGCAGGGCTGTGAAATCTGACAATTTATAACCGTTAAGATAATGTAATGTTGCCCATTACCAGTAATTTAGGGAAGTATCGGCTATTATACAACATTTTAGGTTATCCCTGGATACTTGAGTAGGGAAATTATTATGGGAAATTATGGTATTATGTAAAGTTTTTTCTTTATAATATTTTAACCTTGTCTTTGTACTTTATCATGCTTTATGTAAGACTAACTGTTGGTCGCTACTTCGTTCGCGTTATATTATAAAAACATGTGAACAATGAAATATAAAAAAATACCTATGAAGCTTACACCATAGAGTACTCTAGATTTTGTTTTATATCTGTATCAAATTTCAGAATAATCAAGTAAACATTAAAAAGTCGATTCAATCTATATCACGTGAACCGTAAATATTTCCGGGATCAAAAGTAGCCTATTTGTTCTTCCAGATTATGCTCTACATCTGTCAAATTTCATCAAGATCTGTTCAGTTGTTTTATATTAGTAAGATTAGTTTAAAATAAATATATTTCATTATAAAAACCTAAACACAATTTAAAAAATGTTAGAATTAAACAAAAAAACATTTTTTTTTGTTCAATTCTATTTTTACATATTTGAATTTTTGTCAGACTAATTCTAAATAATTTTTATTATTTCCGACATCAATTAACAAAATAAATAAAAATGATTTTCTTTAAAAATACGTGTCCATTAATAATTACAAAAATAATTTTAAACACATTTTTAAATTATGCTTCATTTTAAAATACACAAATCTTTTTTAATACAAATGTTTAGCTCAAAAAAAAAGATTATTCATTTTGAAAAATAAAATATATTTTAATTATAAGTGGTAATAAAACATTTTCATTTACAATTCTATTTCTTTTTTACTTTAAAATGTTTTTGTTAATCCTTTCTGGAATAAAAATTAAATAATTACTTATTGGAAAAAATGTTGTTGAAAAATAAATTTTTAAGTAAGTCGTCTAGTGAGCTGGTGTCGATGTTAATATGGACCTACCCAATGTTGGTAAAGAAATATTTTGCATGTTTTACTCCCATTACAAACATAATAACAATTAGATTTCTAGCTTTAGCTTTATTCATTTTTCTTCCTAGAGGTGTATACCTAGGAAAAGAAAACAAAATACTTTCGAACGCACTGACTAAGTCACGTAAATTAATTAAAAACACGAAAACAACGAACGTGTAAGTTTATGAAAAAATAATAACCCTGCCGACCTGACACAATAAGTATTGCTCTTTCAAACATCACTATCAGCCGTCATATTTAAATTCATTGCCGTCTTATCCATATCTTCTTTCACGCAATCCATTGACTCTTTCTTCGGTATTATAAATAAAAAAAATAAATTGCAAATTCCTAGTATTGTAAAAATATTATAATTTAGTATTATTTGAATTATATTTTAATTAATTCTGTAATTCTCTTGCCATTAAAGCTATTATCACGGAGTTACATTTTTGACTAAAGTTTTTTTAATTCCGTGTGGACAACACGGAAGCAAAATAAATTCAATTTTAATATCTATTTAGCCTTTATATCAATTGAGGAGAAGTATACGTAAGTTCTGCCCAACTATCAACCATTTATTACTGCAAAAGAATCATTTAGAAATCAAATTCATTATATCTTTGAGTCGCATAACAAAGTAATTAATATATTCTAGGCAGAGCGCGGGTTAGGCCAACACGCCAACTAGCATGTCCTGACTACATGCATGATCGCAGCCATAGATATATATTTGTTATGTTCTTTACATTTGCGTGTCCGATATTTATTCAGCCTTTTATTTAAACGTCGAATTAATTACATCAACGGTTTTAAGGTTAATTAATAGCTTTAAATTGAATTTGACACGTCGTTTTCGGTTAACATTGGAAATGTTCAGGTGTTAATCCTTTGCGATTGGATTAAAAAAAGATTTTCTTGTTGAATATCAGAACGCACATATTTTAATTTACGAATTATCTTAACTCTTACTATTATCTTTAATGCGAAAGTCTAGATGGATGTTTGTTAGAATTTGTAGCCTAAACTAATGAACGGATCTCGGACACCTAGATTATAGTCTAGAACATAGGCTACATATTTTTTTAAATTCCACGCGGACGAAGTCGCGGGACAAAGCTAGTTATTAATATTTCATACACACTATTATGTAAAAACATTGACCTCATTTAGCATAACACAGTTCCATTGTTAACCCTTTGACGCCATCTTAAAAACTCTATTTCTCTGTGTGCATAGTGAACGGTGGCTGGTCGCCTTGGGGTCCGTGGACACAGTGCCGCTGCGGAGGGCGCGCGGCGGGCGGCCAGCGACGCACACGCACCTGCACTGAACCACACCCGCTGAACGGCGGCGCCCCCTGCCAAGGACAAGCTGTACAAAGAACCAACGACTGCGTACCCTGCCAGAGTGGTAAGTCATTTTAAACTCTATTCTTAAGGCCATAAAGCATAAATTAAAATATTAATTTAAGATTAAAGGTTCTTTTGATTGTGTAAATAATACATTTTTAATTTAAATTGGAAATTGTTGTCATCGAACTAAAATTATTTGTGTAATAACGTAAAATATTTTTTAATGCTTACTCTATGAAGATGGATTTATGGATCTCCAAGCATATGATAACACTCAGCAATTGTTAATCGGTAAGTATAAAACAAAACAATTACATAACACGGTATTAAAAAAAAACAGTTAGTGAAGACTAAAAGATCCAATGGTAGTCAAGTTCAGTTATAAAAGTATTTTTAAAGTGAAAAAAACCCCATAAAAACACTAGCGCACGTGCCCGAAATCCTTACAATTCTACCACACTCGAGTGTCATAATCTTTAAGTTCCATCTAAACTATAAAAATCAGGCCATTTAATTTACAAAGGGCATAAACCACACATCAAAGGCCTTTAAGTATTTCATAGCAATACTAAAATTACCGAGTACTGTACAAGGAAGTTGGCTAAATTGATACGCTTTGAACGAACGAACTTCGTGAATGATGAATGACAAAGAATGATTAGGATTAATGAATTAGTTCCTGAACGGAACCCGAAAAGATCGAAATAAAACATCAAAAGTTTTTTGACGTTCGAAATTTAAATTAATAATTGCAAACAAAAACTTAATGAAGATGACTGTTTTAAGAGGAAATTATATTATCGTAAATAATTATTAGTTAAGAAATTCCTTTCAATATACCTACTCTACATTTAATGTTAGATAAATTTCTTTTTTCATTTCCACTGTTTAACATTTACTAGCTGTTGCTCGCGACTTTGTCCGCAATAAATAAAAAAAATAAAGGACATACCTAATGTAACTAACTGATAACGTAGCTTTTTTAATGGTGAAATAATTAGAATCGGTCCAGTAGTTTTTAAATTATATCAATACACGAAAATCCAAAAAATCCAAATCTTTTATTACAATGTTAGAATAGACAAATAAATCAAAGGAAGACTTATAGTATTAACTAGCTTTCGCCCGCAACTCCGTCCGCGTGGAATTATAAAAACAATAGTGAGTATCCTATGTGTTTTTCCAGACTATCCTCTACGTCTATGCCAAATTTCATCAAGATCCGCTCAGCCGTTTAGACTACAAACATCCATCCATCTAAACTTTCGCATTTATAATATTAGTAAGAAATAAGATAAGATATACGACAATATGCTACACGAAGTAAACGAAATAATGTTTAAATTCAAAAAGTCTCGCGTCGCATGCGTTGCCGGGCGGATGCACTGTGCGCGAGTCCGGGTGTTAAAGCTATGGCATCGAGTGCGAATACGTGTGTGAAA